AACCCCCTGCTCAGGCAGGAAACTCTATACCATTTCAGACAAATGGCTGTCCAGTCTTAGATTACAAGACTCCAGGTTGGGGAAGTTCTCTAATTCTAAGAAGGCTCATCACCAGCTATGGATGTACTCAAGTACCCAGTTCTCACCCATGAATGGCCATATTTATTTATCTAGCAGTCATCCTTGACTTAGAAGCACAATGGAGTCCACAATTCCTGTTCCTAAGCAAGACAGTTGTTAAGGGAGTTTTGCCCCATTTTACGACTTTCCTTGCCACCACTGAATCACTGCAGTTCTTAAGTTAGTAACCTGGTTGTTAAGTGAACCTGGCTTCCACTATTGACTTCGCTGGTCAGGTCACAAAAGAGGACCACATGACCCCGGGACGCTGCAACCGTCATAAATACGTTTGCCAGTTGCCCAGCGTCTGAATTTTGATCATGTGACCCTGGGGATGTTACAACAGTCATAAGTGTGAAAAACGATCCTAAGTCACTTTTTTCAGTGCCGTTGTAACACTGAAATGTCTTTGAATGAAAAGTTGCAAGTCGAGGACTACCTATTTCAACGTAGAAAGGACCAAGAGCGAAATAAGCAGAATCAGAGACCACAAAAACCAACCTTGCAATATTGGTTTTGAAAGAAGCTATCAATTTCTGCTTTCTCCCCCCCCCCTCTCTTTTCCATTCCTCAACTTCAAACCTTGGTGTTTACTTTGAAGAGACAAAGAAGGCTTTGTGTTTTGAGCATGGAAGCTAAAATGGGCAAAAGTCTTAGGAGCAAATTTGAGTGAAACTGGACTTGTGCTACACAAGATGGGAGGCCCAGGTGTATATTTATTTAATTATTCAATTAATTTATAGAGCAGCCCATCTCAACAACTCCTCCCCAGGCTGTCCTTTTTTCTTTTTCATAAGAGGGCAGTGCTGTTAACTAGACTGGAAACTGGAGAGAAAATGTGCACACTCAAAGAATCAATCATGTTCACACAACATGCTAAATCCAAACCAGAGTTACTGTGTTCCTCAAAGATATCATGCATTTTACACAGTCATCTAAAAGCAGCATTTACGGAACCTAGGAATGCCATAACTAGGTTAACACAACTCACAAACCATCCACACCCCTTTTAGCTTTCTTTAAAGTATTGTGGGAGTACAGTTATCTCTGCTCTTCTTGGGGGGAATATGATTAAAACAAAAACAGTAAGAAAATAATAAAAAGTCCCATTTCTGATAACTGTTTTTGCCCACAGGATTATTATTATTATTATTTTTAGCATACATAAAAGAAGCACCCTCCACTCGAAGGTTAACAATGCAAGGTTAAAAATAATGGAATACAAAATATTGTGTCTATTGTATGGATCCCAGTTAGGTAGCAACACAAGTGGGTCATGCTTTGGCCTAAGTTGGTCCAGCATGTAATGAAAGGAATTTGGAAATAGCATGTCCTGGTTTTCTTCCAAGGAGTATTTAGTTTTAGTCTAACCAACAATACTTGGATTACCAAGAGGTCTCTCAATTAGCTAGTCACTAATTAGCTACTGAACATGGTCATCCAGGTGCCATCACTTTCTGAGATTTTAGCAGAAACATGAGAATTCAGTCTTTCTTACCTACAACAGAGGCCTCCCTGGACAGGATGATCAAAAGGACTTGGCTCCAGAAACCGCTCAGCACTGACTACAACAAAGGATATTAAGCAAAATCAGAAAGAGGGGAAGAAATGGTTTAATCAGTTGCCTACCTCTTGAGGACAAACAGCTTTATTTTGTCAATAAAGATGGAAAAATTTCACTTCGTATCTCTGAGAGAGAAACCTTTTGCTCAAAACACAGCCTAGCAGCCACATCTCCCACATTGTTTAAATTCATTTTTCCCCCCAATCTCAGTGGACAAAACCTGTTTACATACACACACACAGCTTTCTTTCGGGCCCGTTTTCGACTTTCCCTTGCATTCCAAATTAGTGAATCACTAAATTCACTGCCTGCCCCCCCCTTATAAAAACACCCACCCACACACTACCAAATAAGTGTGTTTTGTTTTTTAAACATCTGATTCTTTCTTATTTTTCTGGGCTCCATTCAGAGTTCGTTCTGGGGTTTTAAAGCAGCCGGGTGAAGGACCCTCCAGGTTGACTTTTCAGCTTGGGGTCTTCACTCAGCCTCCTAAGCATGGGACAGCCCCCCCTTGGCCCCCTCCCACAAATATTCTTCAGGCTTTTCCCCAACCATTTGCCTCCCCCCCTCAAAGCAGCCCCCCAACCTTCCCTTCCCTCTTCTTTTAAAAGTCCTTCTTCAGCATCTCCCCCCTCTTTCAGACCCACCTGAGGGGGCTTTCCCCACACATCCCCCTCCCCATGTGGGACTGAGCAGCCCCCTCCTCCAAAGCCAGGGAAGCTGCTTTATTTGGGTGCTTCCCCCCCCAGTTTCCTCCTCCCCCCTCCTGCATTTGAATGGGGCAAAAGGCCACCTCCCCAAGGAATCTGGGAGAGAGACCCCCGCCCCCCCTCGACTCCCCCAACCCAGGGGATTTGGCACCTGCATGCAATTGCCCCCTCCCCCTTTTCTTCGGCCAAAGCAGCCACTGGGGAGGGGGGGTTTGGAGGGGGGAGGGCAACAAGTGCAGGAGGGGGGGTGCAGGAGGATGCCACAAGCAGAGTTTTAGGTTCCCCACCTGTAAATGGGGGGGAGACACCCCCCTTTTCTCCTCCCTAGGGGGGTTTGCTCTTCAGGGGGGAGGGAATAAAAGCCCCCCCTCTTCCTCAAAGGGTTTTTTTTTTTCAACCCACTCATGGGGTTTTTTGGTGGGGGGGCTACTTCAGTCCCTCCCTCTCTCAGGTGAGTAATGGGGGGGGGTTAATAGCAGCCCCCAGGGGGGGAATAGCAGCCCCTCCCCCACACTGAGGGCCTTCTGGGGGGGTACCCGGGTTTCCCCTGCCCCTCCCCAGGCGGTGGGGGGGCGGGGGGCGCTGGAGACCACCTACCCCATCCCGAGAGCTCCCACCTGGCCTTGCAGCTGCCGGGCCTCCTCGGCGCTTCTGCGGCTGCGGCCCCCGCACGCATCATAGAGCATGGCGGCTCCCAGCCCCATAGAGCGGCCCCCCTCGGCCGGACCACTCCCGCTCCCTGACTGCTCTATGGTCCCATTGTCCGAAGGGCCTTCCCCTCCCCGGAGAGGTAGCCGGAACTTCCGGCGATAGCGCGGGAGAGGGGGGGGTGGAAATCGTGTGCCGGTCTAGCCTTCCGTGCCTCTATGATAGCAGCCAATGGAGTGCCTACTACGCGGAGACGGGGAAGGGCGCATTTCCGGTTGACGTCACGGAGGAGAGAGGGGCTGCTCTATTTTCTTCTTGGCTCTATCTTCGGTGCCTGGTCCGTCAGCCAATCGCTTCCTTCTCCGCCCCTTTGCCTGGCGCAAGGCCAATCGGCGTCAAGGCCCCGGTTTGGTGTGGGGGGGGCGTGGAGGAGAGCGGCTGCAGAGACTGGGACGGCTGCCATCTGGTGGGGAAGAGGCAGAATTGCAGGGGAAAAGATTTGCCCTGGTGGGCAAAGGAAGCAGTCTTTACATCTGTTTGTGTGTGTGTTTGTGTGTATCTGTATCTGTATCTGTGTGTGTCTGTGTGTGTGTAAGAGAGAGGGAAAAAAACAATGCAATGACATATATAGCAAGAAAAAGCCCTTCTCTGTTTCTGCCTGCTTCCTAGCTGCCGGTAGACTGCTCCTGAACAGGGAGGTTCTGACCCGACCGTCCAAAGATGCAGGTTTATTTAAATGCACGATTCGCCTTCTCAAGCCCCCCCCCGCACCCCCCCCAAAAAGCCAGCTATCCCCAGCTGCTTCAACTGGGCCAAGTTAATTCTGGGAAGGGGCTCTTTCCTGCCTTTGACAGCTGCAAAAGCGGGCACCCCCCCCGCCCGCCTGGAGGGAGCTTTTCTCCGGCGTTGCATGAGCTTCACCGGTGGAACTTCGGCCCCTGGCCCAGCCACCCAAGATGAAAGCAAACTTGGACCAAGCCCTTGCAGCAGATGCATCCGTGGTCCCCTGCATCCCCGCCCCAGGGCTGGAGGGGTCCCTCCATCCCTCCTTCCTTCCCTCTTTCCCGGACTTGCAATTTGATGGCAACCCCAATCGCGCCCGGACCCAGCTTTCNGGCAGGAGGGTTCCCCCCCTTGCCTTTGGGGGTGAGGATCAATTCTGTCCTTGGCACTGTGGGGTGAGGGGTCCTTCAGCTGAGGTGGGGGTCTCCCTGGTTGGATTGTTGTCTCCTAAAGATGAAGGAGGCTCCTTCACTGGCTGGTCCTGGTTTTGGAGAGAGATGTCCACTAGGACACACACAAACACAGACACACAGACACACTCACTCACTCACTCTGAAGTTGTCCACTGGGAAAGAAACACACAAACAGCACAAACACACACAAAACGCATTCACTCATTCTGAAGATGTCCACTGGGAGAGAGAGAGAGAGAGACGTACACAAAATACAACATACAACAAACACAAACCCACTCGTTCTGAAGATGTCCACTGGGAGAGACACACACAAACACCACAAACACACTCACTCTGAAGCTGTCCACTGGGAGAGAAACACACAAACAGCACAAACACACACAAACACATCCACTCATTCTGAAGATGTCTGCTGGGAGAGAGAGACACACATACACAAAACGCAACACACAACCAACACAAACCCACCCCTTCTGAAGATGTCCACTGGGGGAGAGAGAGACACACAGATACACAAAATACCACACACACGACAAACATGAACCCACTCATTCTGAAGATGTCCACTTCGGGAGAGACACACAAACACACTCTGAAGATGTCCACTGGGAGAGAGACACCCATACACACACCAAAAGCAGACCCACTCATTTTGAAGATGTCCACTGGGGGAGAGAGAGACACACATACACAAAACACAACAAACAGAAACCCACTCATTCTGAAGATGTCCACTTGGGGAGAGACACATACGCAAAACACCACACACACGACAAACACGAACCCACTCATTCTGAAGATGTCCACTTGGGGAGAGACACACAAACACACTCTGAAGATGTCCACTGGGAGAGAGACACACATAACACACAACACACACCAAAAGCAAACCCACTCATTCTGAAGATGTCCACTGGAGATACACACACACACCAAACACACACACACTCTGTGGGCTACAGCTTGGCCTTGGAAACAGTCTGGGGGCCGAGAAGCATTGTGAGAGGAGAGGGGAGGCTTTGGAGAGGGGGGGACTGGTTGTCCTGGCAAAGACCCCCCTTTGGCATCGTCCGGATTCTCAAAGGAGCCCCTTCCTCCTTCCTTCCTTCCTTCCTTCCTTCCTTCCTCCCTCCCTCCCTCCCTCCCTCCCTCCCTCCCTCCCTCCCATCNGGCCGCCGGAGACGCCGTGGCCCGGCTCCCCTCCCCTCTCGTGGGGGACGCCGGCCCTCCAGCCTGACCCTGAAGTCTTCCCCGGAGGGCGAGTCCCAGAGCCTGGAGCAATATTTGAAGCAATCCTTGCAAAGCTGGTTCCAGTCGGAATTCCTGATGGATTACGACCCGCAGGGCAACCGTCTGTTCTGTATGATGTGCGGCTCCTCCCTGCCCAGTTTGAACCTGGACGACATCAAGCGCCACGTGATGGATGCGCACCCCACTTCCCTGGGCTTCAGCCCCGCGGAGAAGGGGGCCATCCTGGAGGCCTGGAACTCTCGGGAGCTGGCGCTGGGAGCCGAGGGGAGAAATGAAGAGGACGCAGGTGAGAGAGCAATGGGGACTGGGAAGAATCCACTCTGGACGAAGGGGAACGTGATAGCAGTCTTCCAGGATTTGAGGGGTTGCCCCAAAGAAGGGGGGGGGTGAGCTTGTTTTCCAAAGCACCTGAAGGTAGGACAAAAAAACTGACTTGAAGGCACATGCATGCATACAATATCTCACTCATCTCTCTCTCTCTCTCTCTCTCTCTTATCTATCAATCATCTATCTTATCTATATATTGATCTACCCATCCATCTATCGAAGGAGGAGGTATCTTTCTGTCTCTCTTATTTATCTCATCTATCCATCCATCCATCTATCCATTATCTATCTATCTATCTATCTATCTATCTATCTATCTATCTATCTATCTATCTATCTATCATCTACCTATCTATCTATCTATCTATCTATCTATCTATCTATCTATCTATCTATCTCTTATCTATCTATCTACTCTATCTCCTATCTATCATCTATCTATCATCTATCTACCTATCTATCTATCTATCTATCTATCCATCCATCCATCCATCCATCTATTATCTATCTATCTATATAAAAAATGGATGGAATTTGTTTTTAAAAAACATATGTTAATAATAATAACAACCAATAACAACAACAATAATAATAATGATGATGATGATGATGGTGTTGGAAGGGTTGCCACAGTTGTTAAGTGAATCACTGCAGTTGCTCAGTTAGTAACACGATTGTTGTGGATCCGGGTTTCCCCCCCTTGACTTTGCTTGCCAGAAGGTTGTTACTGCAACCGTCATAACTACGAGTCAGTTGCCAAGCGTCTGAATTTTGATAATGTGACCATGGAGAGGCGGCAACGGTCGTCAGTGTGAAAAACGGTCGTAAGTCACTTTAGTAACTTCAAATAGTCACTAAAGAAACAGTTGTAAGTCAAGGACTGGATGCATAAGATGCAACATAAGATGCACAATTGACATCAGCCCCTTTGTGGCGAGTTAGGTGAAGCAACAGCCAAGGCTGAGAGGCTAAGAACGTTCTTTTATTATGGAAAAATTGCATAAAATTGTTTTAACCAGGGAAGGCAGACCTTGGCAGCGACGAGGAATTCAATTCGTTCTTTTTCTTCCTCTCGTAACCCACCCAGAAACCGGCCTGTCTGCGCAACAGGATCTGAACACGAAAGAGTTGGACTCATCGGCTTCCCCAGATCACCCCATGGCAGAGGAGGGGATGGACGAGGCCGGCCCGTGGGACTCGGAAGAGAACAGCCCCCGCATTCCGGCACGCGGCCGAGACCACCGTCGCTACTTCCAGGAACACTGGAGAGTGGAGTACTTAATGGACTACAACGGGGTGCGCCACGGGCTGGTGTGCATGGTCTGCGGGAGCACCCTGGCCACGCTCAAGATGAGCACCATCAAGAGGCACATTCAACAGAAGCATCCCGACTCTACACAACTTAGCCACCAGGTCAAGGCGCTCATCGTGCAGGAGTGGAATCAGAAAGTGGCCCGCCTGGCGGATGCCGACGACTCGCAGCCCGAAACAGATGCTGAGATGGACCAAGGTGAGGGACGTTTGTACGTGTGTTGCACATGGGTGTCTTGAGGGGGCTGGAACTCCCCTGGCTGGTGTACAGGTTATTATTATTTTTTTTAAAAAAAGTGAGGCATGCAACTGTCTAAGCCAGGGGTAGGCAACCTGGGCTCTTTTATGACTCGCGGACTTCAACTCCCAGAATTCCTGAGCCAGCCATGCTGAGGGAAAAGGGAGAGGTTTCCAAGCTGAGCCAGGCTGGCTCAGGAATTCTGGGAGTTGAAGTCCACGAATCATGAAGGGGCCAAAGTTTCCCCCATGCTGGCTCAGGAATTCTGGGAGTTGAAGTCCACGAGTCATAAAAGAGCCAAGGTTGCCTACCCCTGGTCTAAGTTAGTGTTCCTTAACGTTGATAACTGTAAAATCTGCAGTTAGGGCTGGCTGGGGGATTCTGGGAACTGAAGTCCACCCCTCTTAAAGCATGCTGGATAAGGAATTCTGGGAGTTAAAGTCCACCCCTCTTAAAGCATGCTGGATGGGGAATTCTGGGAACTGAAGTCGACCCATCTTAAAGCATGCCGCATGGGAATTCTGGGAGTTGAAGTCCACCCATCATAAAGCAGGCTGGATGGGGAATTCCGCTTCACAGTGGCCTCTCTAAGTGGTTTACAGAGTCAGCCTGTTGCCCCCAACAATCCAGGTCCTCCTTTTTACTGAACCTCGGAAGGATGGAAGTCTGAATCAACCTTGAGCCGGTCAGGATCGAACTCCTCCTGGCTTATGTGCAAAATTAGCCTGCAGTACCGCGTTCTAACCACTGCGCCACCAGGGCTCATAAAAACACGACGATCCCTGGCAAACTCACCACCCTCTTTTGTTCTCGCTTTCCAGCCGAATCGCGGCGTGTTTACAAGCCACCTGCATCTCCCGAGGATCCTCCAGAGGGTTGGGCCTCTCCTAAGCGGGAAGAAGATACCCCCGGAGCAGACAGGCTGGCCCTGCCCCAGCCATCCCCGGGGGCTGCCTCCACGCCAGTCGGGACCCTGTCTCGGCGGAGTCAGCGTCGAAACTACCAGCCCCGCTGGCGGGTGCAGTACCTGATGGACTACGACGAGCAGAAACACGGCTTGATCTGCATGGTGTGTGGGGGCACGCTGGCCACCCTCAAAGTCAGCACCATCAAACGCCACATCCTCCAGGTGCATCGCTTCTCTCTGGAGTACACCGAGCTGGAGAAACAGACAATCCTCGAAGCTTACAGCGAAAACGACCGAGTTTCCGGTGGCAGGGAGCCGGGTCCAAAGGCGCCCGCTGTCAACTCCGAAACTCAGGAGGTTAAGCCAAAGGTGGAAGAGGCAAAGAAGATGGCGTTGGATTACAAGCTGTCTTTTGTGCGGTTTAGCCCTGGCTCTGAACAGTCAGGGAAACAGTGAATGGGACGGTTTCTCGTTTCCTTGCGTCCAGCCGTGGACGGCAGAGAGGGTTGAAATGTTTTTCGGAGACCTGCGCAACGCTGCAGAGGCCCAGACATAATTCTTTTCCTTCTGGTCCAGAGCATTTGTTTAATTGCATGTTGTGTTCCAGCAGCAACAGCTTTTTCCCCCCCTCCCCCTGGGCCTCTGGGCTGCAGAGATTTTGACTCAGAAAACCTGGGGGCTGGGGGGGCTTATGGTACATGGAGGCGCCCCAAAGCTGGGAGAAACCAAACCAAACGGGAAAAAAAGCATATTCCTCCAAGCCAGGAATGGAAAAGAGCGGTAGACTTATCCTGAAACTGTTAATTGTTAGGACAAACAGCAGGCTTGTGAGCTGCTCAATCTTCACGTACGGCGTTTCTTATCCTGCGACTTTGCTTCGGGAAGGCACTTAACGGGCTTGTGGATGTGGTTTTATTTTTTTAACTCTTGTGTTGCGGTATTCAGAGGTACGGGCCAGTCAGCCTGTGGCAGATCTGCAGGCTGTGGCAGCTTCTGTGGTCAAGCTCTTCAAGCAAGCAAGGCTGGGCATAATAACCCTTACCTGGAACCTAGTTGGCGTGGACCTGGTGCAGACGCGCCTGCCTTTAGGTTTTTCATTTATTTTTATTTTTTATTTTAAAAAAGGGAAGGTGCATGCCACAAACCCACAAGGATTTCCACTAGTGTCATTTTTGCTTCCTGCCTCAGGAATGTCTTTGTTGCAAGCATTAGAAAACAGGGAGAACAGATGGGAGAAGGGTATGGTGTAAAATGTTGGCCAGCATTGTGACATTAGGAGTAGCACAAGGCATTGTGGGTGCACGGGGCTGATTCTAAGAGGCAAGCTTTTGGTTTTGCAACAGGGCTGAGCAAAAAGCCGGCCCTTTGGATTCCAAAGCCTCCCAGAGAAATTCCCCAAGGAAATGATAAATTATGTTTCTCCTGCACCCCAAAACTGAATAATGACAGCCGCATCCAGAACCCGGTGGCATCACTTAAGGAAGTCCTGGGGAGAATTTGGGCTGGGTTCACAATTTTCTCTTGGGGCTCCACTTAAAGCACGTGTAGAAGAGCGGACATACTACAAGAAAAATCAAGGGATTCTGTGTTTAGGGGACTGTACCATGCCAGGTGGAGAAAGGGCATCGTTCACAGGGTTTCTTCCATGAAGAATTGAATTTTTCCCTATTTTTTTTTTTTTAAAAAAAACCAACAGTACAGCACAGAAGGAAACAGGAGGACAGTTTAAGCTGCGATGTTTTTTGGATGCAGAAAAGCAACGAGAAAAAAGTCTTCAAATGTCCCAATTAAGTGCGGTCCAGAAAAAACAAAAGTCTGCTAGATTTAAGAGTTTCGCTCTTCTAGTATAAATATTAGCACTTCCGTCCTTGTGGGCTCCAGGTCTGTCTGTAGTAAAGGGTTAGCAGGCCATGGAGGACTTCCATTTGAGCCCTGGGTTTTGCCTTCTGCAGCGAGTAGACGGGTCTTTCCAAGGAAGATGGGACAATTTGGAACGGTAGATATAAATCCCGGCTAAGCAACGGGAGAGGAACGTCTACTGGCCGAGAAGGAATGAGAGGGGTGGGGTTTCAGAGGACCCTCTGGGCTGCACCCAAATTGTTCGACTCTTAATGGGCCAGCGAGGGTCTTTCAGGAAACGGTTTCGGAAAGAAATGGGTAGGGATCAAATTGAAGGGCCCTTGGTGCTCTCTGAGCTGGGTGGTTTTCTTGCAGATGTTTCATGACCAAACTAGGTTACATCATCAGTGCTAGGAGAGAAGGAAAAGGGGAGAAGGAGGAAGAGGAGGACTGTGAGGTCCCTGGTGTTCGCTGAGCTTGGGTTTCATGACCCAACTAAGTAACATCATCAGTGCTAGAGGGGAGTGGGGTTTGCTGCAAATGCTGCTTCTCGCACTGATGATGTTACCTAGTTGGGTCATGAAATGTCTGCAAGAAAACCACTAAGCTCAGCAAACACCTCATTTCAACCTTGAGCTACAAATATTCTCCTTTATAGGGATCAAACTGGTGCAAAAATATATATATGAAGATTCGGCATATTAGAATGACTGGCTGATCTAGGAACGGGATTGCTGAGCATAAACAAGTTCAACCAGGAATCATCGTTAGAGACCTTCCCGATTTTCTTGAATTTTATACCTTCTGGAATCTCTCGCCCGCAATCCTGTATCCTAGGGGTGCCTTGGATCAATCAGCAAAAATGTGCGTCGTCTCCATCCGGTCTTTTAGGGCTACAGTTTGGGTGCAGCGCAACCAAAACGAACATTAGTTGTTATGTCCAAGCTATCCAAAACTCAGCGCTGAATTGCTTTGATATTCTGCATGGCTTCCAGACCGCAAAAGCGATGCTAAGCGGTTTTGCAGCTGTTTCCCAGAACCATCCCTTTGTTTTAATTTTTTTTAACGAGTATTACGGAAAAAATTATCCGCTACATTTACTGATCTTCTGCTGGAAGAACTTGGGAAGGGCTAAACTGGTTTTTAACGGCCCCAAGGCTTGTTTTGAGGACGGAGAAAATGCTGTTCTATAACTAGGCACACGACATATTTTCGGCAAGCAGTTGCCTGTTTTATCTCTTCCCAAAGCGGTCGCCTCGCTTCTTCCGGTCGTCATCACCCCGTTTTCCTAAATGTCTGGTTTGTATTTTTCATGGCTGGCCCTCTTTGAGTTTTGCTACCGAGAAACATTGAGGACGGCAACCTTGTGACTGTGTGGGAACTGTCTCTCCGTCGCTTGTGGGGGGAAAAAAATGGAGTTTTGCATCGATACGAAATGTTGTTTTTATAGTATATATATATATTATATATAAGCACTACGTTTTGTAAAAAAAAACAGGTTATGGAGAAAAAAAATCCTTTTAAAAGTTCTGCTATTTTAAAATGCAATTCCAAAAGTTCCTTTTTTTTAAAAAAAAAATGTTTTGGGGGGGGCTCCAGGTTTTCTCTTTTGCTGCTTTGGGTTTGGAAAGCAAAGTAGATCGAATGGATCCGATTTTGCAGTACGAGGTCAAGTTGGTAAGACTGGACGTAAATCCCCCAGATGGCTATTTTCAAGGGGAAACGGGCTAGCAGTCAAGGAAGCGAGTTCGAATCCGAGCCGTCCCCGGGGAGGAGAGCGAGCAATCAGCAATTATGGAAGGCAAATGCGTTGGATCAAAAAGAAATATGTGAATTTTTGCTGCTTCGCTGGCTTTCTCTTTGGTCTCAGAAGGCTGTAGCTGTGCCTTCAGCTGTCGTCCAGCTGAGGTGACCGCAGTGTCCTTCCAGGACCGTTTTTTACCAAAATGGAGTGGATGATCAGCTGGTTGGCTCTTTCTAGCCTTGGATGGAGCCTTAACCCCGGCACCCACAACCAGGGAAGGCCTCATATTCCTCATCTTAGACCGGGGGGGGGGGGTCTGGCAACTTTTTAAGACTTGTGGACTTCAAGTCCCAGAATCCCCCAGCCAGTGTTGGCTTGAAGATCCCCCAGCATGGCTGGCTAGGGCAGGGGTAGGCAACCTTGGCTCTTTTATGACTCGTGGACTTCAACTCCCAGAATTCCTGAGCCAGCATGAGGGAAACTTTGGCCCCCTCATGACTCGTGGACTTCAACTCCCAGAATTCCTGAGCCAGCATGAGGGAAACTTTGGCCCCCTCATGACTCGTGGACTTCAACTCCCAGAATTCCTGAGCCAGCATGGCTCAGCTTGGAAACCTCTCCTTTTCCCCTCAGCGTGGCTGGCTCAGGAATTCTGGGAGTTGAAGTCCACAAGATATAAGAGCCAAGGTGGCCTACCCCTGGGCTAGGGAATTCTGGGACTTGGAAGTCCACAAGCCTTAAAAGTTGCAAAGTTTGGAGAGCCTTGTGTTACACAAATGCAACGCCAAGGTTGGCCGGGCTAGTTCTTGCACTCCAATGACGGGACCCTTTTTTTTTTCTTTTTGCAATCTCCCAAACTAAGCTAAGTGGGAACCCTGTGGCTCAAGGTTGATCCCCCCGCCTTCCATTTTTGGAGACAGTCCTGCAGGTTTTTCAGAAGTGGTTTGCCATTGCTGCCTTCCTAGGGCCGGGAGGAAGGGGCTGGCCCAAGGCCACCTGGCTGGCTTCATGCCCAAGGCGGAACTAGAACTCACAGTCTCCTGGTCTCTAGGTTGATGCCACTGCACTAAACTCTCCGAGGGACGGGGGCAGTTGAGAAATACGAAATATAAACAAACAGGCTCTTCTTTAGCCGACACCGTTGTGCAATTAAAAACAAAGGCCATCGAACCACAAAAGCACAGCAGATTTGAGGGGATGGTGGAAGGACCACCGTCCCAAAGAGAGTTAAATGCCTTTATTTTTTAATTGCAAGGTAGAGTGAAGTGTCGCCCTGAAGATAGTAGCACCACTTTCCTGGATTTGTGTTGCTTTTTTTGTTTTTTGTTTTGTGGGAATCAAAAGATTTCAGATCACCCAGTGCTCCTTTATTAAACACATCAAAGAACAGTTGAGACCCTCTCCCCCCCCTTTGTATACCTCAAAACCCCAGAAGGACCCGCGTTTCCTGGCACGCCACGATCCCATAAAGCACATCGAACGCAAAGGGCGTTGTTGGTAATTCTTGTTTTTTTTTGCCATCTACGTACATTTTTTTTTTTTAGGGGAAAAAAAAAAATTAAAGTCTGCCGGGCGCGAGGCAGCCAGTTCACGATAGTCAAACACAGCAGTGAGAGGACAGATGTCGAAGCACGGAGTGGAAAGGCTTCCAGTGCAATAAAAGGCTTTTAAAAAGGGTATTTTTTTGGAGGGGGGGGGGAGATAGATAAGAAAGAAAAGGCCGGTGGTTTATGAAGAGGGGAGAGAAGCTAGAACTGTCTCCTTGGGAGCAGAGGATGGCATAAAAACGTGTGGGGAATGCATGCAGCTCTCAACAATGGGGGGGGGGTGGGTTCCTAGTGTCTGAATGGCACCCCAAGAACCAACCTGCCCTCTACCCCGTGGGGCTTTGCCCCTTTGGGGGAGAAATTATGGCATTAGCTGCCCTGCTGGGATGGCAGACGGGAGACTCTTTCCCGAAGCTTAAGATTTTGGGTTGATATGCTGAGGCTCTTCCCTTCCCGAGCCTGCGGCCCCCTCCCCAATTTTACACAGCGACCCAGAGGGGCGGGTTTGTCATTAGAAAGGTGGATTGCGGGGAGGAAACTGAGGCAGCCTCTGGTGGGAAGGCGATCCTCCCAATTCAGCTGCTGATTTCTTTCCGGGGGGTCTTCCTCTCCCCCGCCAAGCCCCCCCTCCAAACTCAGCCTCAACAAGAGATGCAGCTGGTCCATGCCAGATCAACCTCTTTTATTTTTCCCACTTTTAAACTCAGTTTCCACTTTCGCCGGAAGGGAAGGCAACGACAGAAATTCCGGGGAATTAAAAAGTTTGCTTCTCTTTCTCCTCCCCCCCCCCCGCCTAAAAAGCCACCTCCAGGAGGACTAGCCTCTTTGCTCTCCAACTCTGGCTCTTCCCACTTTCCTGAATCTAAATTTCGCCCGTGCTTTTCTCCCTCCGAACGAACGAAGCGAGAATCCCTCTGTACGAGAAGGGTGGGGTGGGGTGGGGGGAAATATTAAGGGCTCATAAGGTTCCTTGCCATCTTTTGAGGCTAACATGGGATGAGAAAGGAGAGGAGGGGGGGGACTGTATTCCCCCCCCACACACACCAAGGACAGCCATTTATTACAGATATATATTTTTTCAGTTCAGGATCACACGGGGGAAAAAAAATACGAAATTTGTGCAGAGGTTGTTTGGGAGAGAAGGAAGAAAAACGGAGGATGAGCTAAAAGAGGGAGCAAAGTCAGGATGGATGCAGAATTCCCCCCCCCCCCCCAGGATCTATTTCTATTTTGGGGGTGGGGGGTGTGAAGGGGAAAAAAAAAGGCTGTCCAGAATTTCCTTAATTAAGAGCATCTTATCTGGGGAAAGTTAAGGAAGATTAAGGATTCCTCGCCCCCTCCCCACATTTTACTAGGCAAGGAGAAAATACTTGGGTTGGTTTAAGAATCCTTTCAACCCAGGGGGCTTCTCACCTTTTGGGGAAACTGAGGACCCTCCTCTTGACAACCTTGCTTTTGAGGGCCCTGGGGGTGGGGGGTGGGGAGTGTTTCGCTCCATGGATTCCCCCCTCCCCACTCGGACCGTGCTCTTTCTCAAAGCCCCCCCCCCCGTCCTTCTCAAGTTTTTTAAAAACTAGCGATAACCAGTTCATGATTATTCCAGTGCATTCTGAGCTCAGTGTTTCGGCTTTGGGGAGGAGGGGAAAGGGGACGAATAATAATAATAACAATATAATAATAATAATAATAATAAAACACAATCAGTAAGCTTGGAACGCAGACATCAAGCTGACTTGGCAAGTTCCTTCATAGATACGAGTAACAGTGATTATAGCCATGACACAAGGGGAGTATTTTCGTTGTTGGTGTGGATTTCAATTAATGGCTGGGTCTCTTGGTGGCTGGCGGAGGTTATTCGGCCTTTTTCTTCACGGTGCCGGGCAGCTTTGCTTGGATCCTGGGGGAAGAAAGAAAGAAAGAAGAAAGAAGCACACGAAGAATGGAGGGTCGGGAACAAGGCTCAACTGGCCTTCTGAGAAGCTAAAAGACAGAGTATGTGCACTCGGAGTTTTCTTCCGAGAGCCATTCACCAGCCCAGGGGAGGGGAAAAAAAAAGATAAAGGAAAACAGAAGGGGAGGAAGCTTAAGACCCCTTTGAGCATTTTTAATATCCATAATCCCTGAATTATTTTTTAGAGGTTCCGTATTTGAGATTGTCAAATGTGGAGGCTACAATTTTTGATTGTCCACCAAAGTGAGATTTCTTTCCTTCCTTCCTCCCTTCCCTCCAACTCAACCACCTATCTTACCTACCTACCTACCTACCTACCTTATCTATCTATCTGTCTGTCTATCTATCTATCTAATCTCCATTATTCATCCATCTATCCATCCTATTATCTATACATACATATCCGTCCATCCATCCATCCATCCATCCATCCATCCGTATCTATCTATCTAATCTATCTATCTATCTATCTAATCTATCTATCTAATCTAATCTATCTATCTAATCTATCTATCTAATCTATCTATCTATCTATCTATCTATCTATCTATCTATCTATCTATCTATCTATCTATCTATCTATCTACTTTCCTTCTTACCTACCTACCTTATCTATCTATCTATCTGTCTGTCTGTCTGTCTATCTATCTATCTAATCTCCATTATTCATCCATCTATCCATCCTATTATCTATACATACATATCCGTCCATCCATCCATCCATCCATCCATCCATCCATCCATCCATCCATCCATCCATCCATCCGTATCTATCATCTATCTATCTATCTATCTATCTATCTATCTATCTATCTATCTATCTATCTATCTATCTATCTATCTATCTATCTATCTATCTATCTATCTATCTATCTACTTTCCTTCTTTCCCTCCCATCTGCCTATCCCTTTCTTTCCCTCCCTTTCTCTTTTCTTTCTTCCATTCATCCATCCCTTCCTCCCTCCTTTCTCTTTCCCTTCTTTCCTTCCTTCTCCTCCCCTCCCTCCCTCCCTCCCTCCCAAGCCCAACTACCTCAGCTTTGGCGAATGGCCTTCTTACATTGCCAAGGAGCGTCCTCGGACAGGCCCCCCTTAGCCTTCCTGAGCCACTTCCATCCAATTTTGAGGAGCTGGCAGTGGGAGGAGAAGTGGTGTCTCCCAATTACATGCCCACGCCTTGTCATTTTCCACCTGGGTCCTCGGAGACGGCCCAAAATCGCTCACTATCTTTCGTGCGACTCACTTTGTAACAGCAGAGTTGGTTTGATCCCGGATGATCCCGACATAATGGTCGATCTGAGTCTGAGCACCAAAAGCAACAGGATGAAAGAAACGGAAAGACAGTCAAGGATACAAAGATACATTATCAAATTTATATGTCTCCATCTATAACTCTGGTCTGTTACCCCATCCTCTTAGACCAGTGATTCTTCTTTTTTTTTTTTAAATTCAAACACAAATAATACAAACATAATACATATAAGTCTAAAAAAAACAATATAAAGAAAATACAAATATTACAGTGCAATCACCCCCCCCCCCGGAAACCATTTTTATTACCTACATTTCTTCTCATATAACAACTAACAATATACAATATATTTCAATTGTGCCCTTATCCCCTCCAGAACAGCATATATTCCTGAGTAGGTTTATTCCCTTTGCCTTCCACCAACACCGTTTTTATAAAATCCTCCCCTATTTCATGAAAATTATTTACTTTTAATCATCCCTTTTTAAAATTTAATTTCTGTTGTTAATTTATCACTTATTGCCGTATTCCATATTTCATTATACGGCTCATTTCTTTGAATAACCCAATTCCGTCTCCTGTTGGACCAGCGATTCCCAACCCTGGGCACTTTAAGATGTGTGGACTTCAACTCCCAGAATTCCTCAGCCAGCAGTTCTGGGACTTGAAGTCCACACATCTTAAAGTGCCCAAGCTTGGGAATCACTGTCTCTATACCTTCTAACACGGGTACCCAGCCTCTAATTTTGTGTCCCCCATTTACACACACACACACAAAAAAGAGGGAACAAATATTGAAAACGGATGGGGGCAGTGTTCCATATTCCAACAGAAAAAGAAATAAAATACACTGCTTTCCGTTCTTATTTACTTTTCCCGTTCTAACCAGCTACCCATCACCTGCCCAAATGCCCAAAAGATCGGATTGTGAATTCTGTTCCCTTTTTTTGAACACACTGCCCTGTTCTCTGCAAGTTTCAAAGCCTGAGAAGACGTTTGCGATTCCCCGTTGCCCATTTTATGCTGGGGGAAAAAGCTGGAAAGTGCCCAAAGTCCTCTAACATTGTCAAGCTACCAACTTTCTCCAAAATTCCATTATTTCAGGCATCCTGGCAGACGCACACCCTATTAATATTTCCGAATGGCTTGCCCAGAATTCTTGGGACTAAAGCTACCCACCTTATATTTCTCATAAACGACCGGCATGCTGAAAAC